TGCCCCAACTAAAGATGGTGATGGAGGTGTCCCAAGATGGAGGCTGATGCTTTCAGTGAAGGGGTGTTGGGTCGGGTGGGGGGAGCCAGGCAAATGCATTGTGCGATGCATTCAGAGATGAGCTCTGTGGTGTACTGTGTTGCAGATGTAGGCTTTCTTCAGAGCCTGTGATGTCCAAGGTGCAGGCAGGCTCCCATGAGTAGGGGACTATGGCAGTAGCTGCTGAGTCCCAAGATGGAGGGGACCAAGGAGCCCCACGTTAGTAGATGAGGGTCCACACAGCAATGGCAGCTTGAGTTCCTGCATGTGGGTAGCGACTGAGTGTCCTTCATGGGAGCGGTGTCTGGAAATTCTGCACCTGCACTGATCCCAGCGGTCCCCCTTATGGCACCCTGCATGGGCAAGTAGTTAGGAGTCGGGAGTCCTTTTCTAAGCTGAGGCCTGGGGCCCCACAGGACACAGTGGCCATGATTATTCCTGTGAAAGATCAGCTGTGGAGTGGTCCTCTATCACTCTCAGCAAAACAGTATTCCCATTAGTTGAGACCCGGGTCACCAAGCAACACAGAATGCTTCCTCCCCCTGGCCTGCCATCTTGGATTCCCCCTCAATTATCTATTTCCATTGAATGAGCTATGGCAGTTTGGGGGTTTTTTTTTGAGGAATTTCTCATTTCATCTAAGTTGTCAAATTTGTGTGTGTGTAGAGTTGTTCATAATATTCCTGTAGTGTTCTGTTGATGCTTTCTGGGGTCCATGATAATTTCTCGTTTTATTTCTATATTGTTAATTCATGTCTTCTCTTGACATTTTTTCCCCATCAATTTTACCAGAGATCAATTTTATTGATCTTTTCAAGAACTGGCTTTTTTGCCAGTTTTCTTTATTGCTTTTCTGCTCTCGATTTCATTGATTTCTGCTCTTCATTATTCATTCCTGCCTCTTGCTTTGGGTTTATTTTGCTCTTCTTTTTCTGGGTTCTTGAGATGGGAGTTAAAATGATTGATTTGAGACTTTATTTTTTTCTATTGTAAGCATTTAATGCCATAAATTTCCCTCTCAACCTTCTTTCAGCTGTGTCCCACAATTTTTGATGTGTTATATTTTCATTCATTTCAATGCATTTTGAAATCACTTGAAACTCTCCCTTCAGCCCATTGATTATTTATAGCTGTATAGTTTAGATTCCTAATGTCTAGAGGTGTCTTCTGTTATTCTCTTGTTATTGATTTTTTTTTGTTTGTTTGCTTCTGCAATGGACTCTATTCTGGTATACATGTTGTGGTAAATGAAAAGAATATGTATTCTGCTTTTGTTGGTTTCTGCATACTTCAAGTTTCAACTAGATCCTGTTAGTCAATGGGTCTGTTGAGTTCAATATCCTTACTGATTTTCTAAAAGTGTGCTATTAGTTGTTGAAAAGGGGATGCTGAAGTCTCTAACTAGAAAAGTAGAATTGCCTATTTCTCTTGTCAGTTCTATAATTTTTCTTCATATTTTGCTGTTCTGCTGTTTGGTGCATGTATTTTCTCAGATTATTGTCTTCTTGGTGTATTCACAATTTTATTATAATACAACACCCCTTTCTGTCTCTGATAACTTTCTGTACTTGGGAAATTCCTTCCATCTGATATTAATATAGCCATTCCCATTTTTCTTTGTTTAATATTTGCATATTCATTTTTACCATCCTATTCTCAATGTGAATCTATTATTGTATTTTAACTCCATTTCTGGTAGAAACCACACAATTGGATCATGTTTTTTAATCCCTTCTGCCACTCTGTCATGTAATTTGTGTATTTAAACATTTTATATTTCATTTAGGGCTGACGTATGCCATTTTAGTTTTTGTTTTCTGTTTTTCTGATTTCTTTTGATTATCTGTTTTCTTTCTCCCTTTCTGTTCATTTCTGTGGTTACTTGAACATACTTTAAAATTCCACTTTTAAAATTGTGTTTTTGAGTGAATGCTTTACATAGCTTATTACTTGTTGATGTAGATACTAGGAAACATAAACATAACTTACCACAGTCTACTGATGTCATCATTTTACCAATTCAAGTGACAATGTAGAAGACTTAGCTCCCTTTATGTCTCTTTACCTTACCCCATTTATAATTGTCTTTAGGAATTTGCTCTGTACACATTTACAACCACATTAGTGTGATAATGTTTGTTTTGACTGATACGTATACTTAGGAAAACTCAAAAGGAGAAACACCACTATGGTTTTTATCCCTATTTTTGCTGTACATGTTCTTGTTCCTTCCAGATATTCTTTTTTGTTATTGTTCCAATTAGTTATACATGATAATAGAATGTATTTTGACATATTATGCATATATGGAGCATAACTTTTCATTCTTCTGGTTGTACATGATGTAGAATTACATTAGTCATGGAATCATATATGCACATAGGATAGTAATGTCTGACTCATTCTACTCTTTCCTTTTCCCATTCTGCCTCCCTTCCCTTCATTCCCCTTTGTTTAATCCAAAGTACTTCTTTTCTTCCCTAACTCCCACCCCTTATTGTTCTGATAGTTGTTCTTTATCATTTTCTTTCTGTTTAGAGAACTTCTTCTAGCCATTCTTTTAGGGTAAGTCTGTTGGCAACAAATTCTCTTAATTTCCTGAGAATGTCTTTATTCCCCTTTAATCCTGAAGAATATTTCTTTGGATACAGGGAGCTGGGTTCACAGTTCCTTTCTTTTCACACTTTAGAAAATATTCTGCCACTTACTTCTAGCTACCATAGTCTCTGAGGGGAAATCCACTTCCATTCACATTGCTGTTCCCTTGTGGTTAACATGTTCCCTCTCTCGTTGCTTTCAGGATGTTTTCTTGTCTGGTTTTCAGAATTTTTACTAATAAACTTACTTAATTAACATATATTTGGGTGTTTTCTATTGGGGGTTTTCATAGAATCTGTAAATTTGAATTGCCAAACTGGTGAAATATTCAGCCATTTTTTCTTTAAGTTATTTTTTCAGTCTCTCTCTCTTTTTCTTCCCCTTTGGGATCATCATAACACAAATATTAGATCTTTTGTTATAGTCCTACAATCCCTGAGGCTAATTACTATTTTTTTCCAGTCTATTTTCTTTTTATTGTTTAGATTTGGTAACTTCTAAGGTTCTGTCTTCAAGTTCATTGATTCTCTACTAATTTTACTTTTCAGTTCACTCCCTAATGTTTCAGGTTTCAGTCATTTTTTAAGTCTAAATTGTGCCTGTTTCTTCTCTGCATCTTCTATTTCTTTACAAAGTCTTACTTTCTTTTTTTTTTTTTCTTTGTACTGGAGATTGTACCCAGGTGTGCTTTGCCTCTGAGCTATCTTCCTCATCCTTTTTAATTTTCTTATTTATATTTTAGTTTTGAGACAGGGTCTTGCTAAGTTGTTGAGGATCCCACTAAGGTTGCTGAGACTGACCTCTAACTTGCAATCCTCCTGCCTCAGTCTCTAGATTTTTAGGATTTCAGTCTGTGTCACTGTCCTTTATGAATCTATTTTTTTAACTATGTTGCAAAGTTGTTTGTAATTGGTCATTGGAGCATTTTTATAGTTGCAGCTTTAAAATTTTGTTGGATAATTTTAATGTTTCTGAGATCTCAGTGATGGTATCTATTGATATTCAGTTTGAGATTTTTCTAGTGCTGAATAAGATTAATAAATTTCAGTTGAAATTTGGATATTTGGGGTCTTAAGCCATAAGACTCTAGATCCTATTTAAACCTCCTGTTAACTGACACTCTACTAGACCTCCTCTGATTCCACCGCTGGAGAGGGGTGTGGCTTGTGACTAAGATGGGGATAGAATCCCTTATGGTCTCACCTGACAGCATGGGGGTGTCTCATTACCACTCCATTAGAATCAAAGTAACTGCTCAACACGCAGCCCTCTTTGGAACCATACTGGCAGAAGTGTTAGTGTTCTTTCTACTCTCTTTACTGGTGGAGGTAGAATGGGGACAGTTTTTTCTGGAATACAACAGTTATTTTTCTAAAAATTTTCTGATTTTCTGTTCTGCTGGGTTGCACTTCTCCTGGTTTTTGGCTAGAGATAGCAGGTTTTGGATTTTTTTTGTTTTCTTTTTTGTCTTTACCTGTTAGCATTTCCAGATTACCAGCTTTTTCAGCTCAAGTCTAGGATATATGAAGCAAAAAGAGAAAGAAAGAAAGAGGGAGGGAGGAAGGAAAGAAAGAAAGAGGGAGGGAGGGAGGAAAGAAGGAAAGGGAAAGAAAGGAGAAAGAGAAAGAGAGGAAGGAAGGAAAAGGGAAGGAGGGAGGGAAGGAGAAAGAGAAAAGAAAACCCATGTCATTCCTTGAGTCCTAAAGCTCCTAGCTAGTATGCCTCCCTCTCTCCACATGAACAGTTGTCTCACCTTGTCATGCCCAGGTTTTTGACCTGTAATGGGCAGGAAGAAGAGGGAAAACTGATTCTACCCTACCTTACCCAGAAGTGGAAGTCTCACAGCAAACTCTCAAGATAACTACTGCTTCTTAAATTTGGATATATTAAAGAATATCTTAAAATTATGTACAAAATGGTATTAAGGTATTTTTTTTCTTTTTCAACTACATATCTGTTTAAAAACTAGAATTGTTCTCATATTAGTTCAATCAAATCACTCACAGAATTGTACACAGAAGCAGACTTGAGAATCCAGCTGTCTTCTATAAAGGCAGACAGCAAAGAAATTTTCAAAGTAAGTAAATAATCCTAGTTTTTTCACTATGTTTTTTGTTTTTAAAAACATAATTATTTCTCATAAAAATACATTTTTATATTAACAAATGACTTTATTACTACTATTTTAAAAATAAATATTTTGGCATTTTGTTTAAATTTCTAATATTGTAAATGTCAATATAGGTAGCTCAAATAAACCATTATTACAACCTCAGTAATTTTAAGAGTGTCAAGAGGGTCATAATCCAAAATGTTTGAGAATGTATGAGGTAGATAAAAGTAATACTGAAGGAAATTCTTACCTTCTCTCCTGAGAGTTGCAGGTTGTGAACATATTGCATAGTTCCTTGTGCCAATTCAGAAGGTATCCCTGGTGGCACCAGAGGGACACAGGCATAGTCTTCGTTTTCTCTCTTAACAGGAATTCCATACAGTATTCTAAAATGTAATTTTTAAAAATTAGTGTTTTTTACATTATTGATAAAGCAAAAAATGTTTGCTTTCTTTTCATACCTCCGTTAAAATAAACATATGGTCATTTGACATCGGCACTAAGTAAAAATTGTGAAAAGATCAAATACTCAAAAAGGAGAACCCAAAAATAATTTGTTTGGCTCTGAGTACCTCTTAATAGTAACCTTTGTGATGGTTTTGTTTTATTATATTGGAAAAATAATACATTCACTCTGTGAAAGCCCAATTATACAAGAGATCTAAAATTCTCTATGACCTGACTTCTAACCTACTCCACACTGCACACTCACAACAAAGATTTGGGGCAAAACACCAGCCTGAGCAGAACTGCCTTCTCACATTACAGTTTTGTCTTCTTGATCCACATCTTGCTGGGATGTACAGAAAATTGTTTTGGTGTCAGATCTTCCCTTGGTAGGCTACCAGCTACATATATCTAAGAATATATATATATAGGTTAAAAAAAAATATCAATAAAAGCCTTAATTTAGCCAAAGATATGAGATAAATCAAACTTTGAAGGCAGAATGTATCATTAATGACTGACCTGTGGGTGGCTTGAAAATACATTAATTTTTGTATTGTGTAACTATTAAATATAAAATACATAATGAATAGAAAATGGGCCTCTACAGACTATAGTTCTATCAATTTCACATAAAAATATTTAGAGGTCTAACTTTTCTATTATATGAACAGCCAATACGAGTCACTAGATGTAAAAAATAAATATATACAACGTATTTGTTGATAGTATGCTAAAACTCTCAAATCCCATCTTACCAGCTCCTAAGGGGTAGTCTGCCCAACTCCAGACTGAAGAAGATAGGAATTTTCCAAAGTAGACTCATGAAAATAAGCAAACGTATCTCACCTTGCCAAATATCTGAATTCAAAGAGAAGTTAGATCTCAACTCCCAGCCTGGTAAATGTCATTGCCACCAACACCTACTCCATTCTACTGTGCTTTCCTGAGCTGCTGAGGATAAAGAGGTAAAAACCTTGCTGTAGCCAGTGTTCTAGATGTGAAGATGTAGGACCCACTAACCACTTCAGAAGGCAGAAAGTTCTGGGGTTTCTCTGGGCAAGCACAGGTGGGACAAAGTTGTCCGGTTCTTCGGTAGCAGTGTCCCAGTTACTCCTTTTGTAAATTGTCACTTTGGCCAGTGAGCATATTAAACAGACATAGTGTGGCTCCAGAGTCAAAAGTGGTGACAGTAGAGGCCACTGGATACCTAAATCTCAGCTAAGGTGGTGTGTTGACAGTATGGCTTTCAGCTTCCCACCTTCCTGATGAGGGAGGAGCAGCAGCAGCCAGTTAAGCATGCTGTGTGGTTTTTCCCTCAAGCCCTCCTTGACTAATGGTGATCTTTCCAACCTTTCCGTTGATTTTATAAGCATGAACTTGCCCTTACTCAATACCTTCACTAAAGACGTTCCTGTTTTCTGCAACTGAATCTTGACTGATATATTTACAAAAATGAAAGAACAGGAATAGGACTAGGGACTAAGAGAGGAAACCCAGAGTATAAATATATCAAGACCAATAAGAAAGTTCTAAGATTAGGTTGTGGGGAAAGGGTGGCACTTTGGTCCCCAAAGCAGCAGTGTTGGGAGCTGGGGCCTAGTGGGAAGTGTTTGGGTCATGGATTTAGAGCCCTTATGGAGGGATTAATACCTTTCTTGAAGAGATGGGTTAACTATAGTGGGTGGGATTTTTTCTCCCTTTTTCTCATTTGTTAGCTTTTCCTCACCATAACCAAAATACCTGGCAAGAACAACTTAGAAGAAGGGAACTTTTTCTGGCTAATGGTTTCAGAGATTCAGTCCATGATCTGCCCACGCCATTGCTCTGGGCCCAAGGTGTGGCAAAACCTCGCAGCAGAAGGGCATGGCAGAGGAGCACTGCTCCACGGATGGAGGCCAGGAAGCAGAGAGGGGAATGGGTCCCAGGTGTTATGGCCTAGACATGAGGTGGCCCCCAAAAGTGTGTGTAATTTTCAGAGGTGAAATGCTTAGATTATAAGAGTTGTTAGATTAAGTCAGTGGATTGATCCACTGATATAGATTAATTGGGCGGGAACTGTATGCAGATAGGGTGTGCCAGGAGGAAGTAGGTCACTGGGAGTGTGCCTTTGAGATTTATATTTTGTCCTCTGGCAAGCAGAGCTCTCAGCTGCCTACTTGCCCTGTCCTGAGCTGCTTCCTTCCACCACGCCCTTCAGCTATGATGGACTGTTTTATTCTAGACACCATTTCTTTAAAGCACTAAACTGATTTTACAACCTATTTATGGGGTCTGAATCCACAACCTGGAAAGCATTAGCTTACATAAGCGAATGTTTAAAAAAATAGACTCCGAAGGTCTGGAAAAATCTTCAGGAATTCATCTTCTTGAAGATGCTAATCTACAAATCATTTTCTGTAGCCTTGTATAATTTTTTTCTTTAAAAATTTCAAGAGAGGAATGTAAATACTCTGTATGCATTTTAAAAATCAAAGATGATAGTCTCAAAATGGTGAGTCTACAAAAGAGTACACCTATAATTATATAGAATTTTTTTTTTTTTTTTTAAAAAAAAAAATTGGGGGGGGGGGGGGGTGGGCATTGTATTTTTAAATCATTGTAACTTCATTGCTACATGCAAACAGTGACATCTGGTGGAATGACATTGTTTTACTTTCCAAAAAAATTTAGCTTTTACATAATGGAGTTATGGGAACAGATAAATTTCCAAATAATTCCTTGTTTGGGTATTTCCATTTTTAAAAAATGTACTAATAGAATAGCAAACATTGATAGACCATCCTGATATGGCTTTTTTTTTTTTTACTCCAATCTGTATTTTTAAAATATGCTGAAGGCATACTAATAGGACTATTTGTTCAAAGTAAATAAAATAGAAATTTAAAGGAGTTTACTATTGATTCTGTCTCTAACTGTACAACCAGCCATGATGTGGGGTACAAAACTTTGTCTCCTTGTTTATAACATGAATGGTATGTGGAGTAGGACATAAGACATCAAATCTCTGATATATGTACTTCTATGGCACATATCACCAGCTAGACCTCAAACAGGAATTATATCTTGTGCTCTTTGGTATGATACCTTAAGCTATTGCCTTGATTATGCAGCACTGAACAAAGCCACATAAGAGGTGAAGATGGTGTCAGAATCAGCCTGACAGCTAAGACATGGCAGACGATGTGGAGAATGGGGAATGTAAAAGTTAGGTCACTCCCAGAAACCCATGCTGGAAAGAAATAGAGAACAGATGATAGAATACAATATTATAAATGAAGTATAAAGATTGTAAATGAAGAGGCTGGGGCTGGGACTCAGCAGTAGAGCACTTGCCTGGCATGTGTGAAGCCCTGGGTTCAAATCTCAGCACCACATATAAATAAATAAAATAGAAGTCTATCGACAACTAAAAAAAATAATAATCATTCTTTAAAAAAACAAAATTGTAAGTAAAGATGCTCCTCTATGTCTGGTATCAGAAAAGGTTCATCATTTGACAATGACACAGTAGGAGAAGTGGGGGATCAAGTAATAGCATATATAAAAGTAAGATTTTTTCAGACACTCCAGAGGTTTCAGTGGTTACATCAAGGAAGTCTCCCACAGTTAGCAAGTCCCCATCCCTGGCTCAGATTCAGAAACAGGATTCTCAGTTTCTAGGAAGCAACAAGCAATAGTAAGATTAGATTCCCACCCTAATATAAGCAGAAGTTCCGATTCCAAACTGAGGCACAATGGAGCAAATGCAGACTACCATGGGTAAGTAAAAGATGCTTCTGTCTGCAATTACAGCTCCTCAAACTCTTCCTAGCTTAGGTCAGAAAAAACAGGATGAGTGATTATTCTCCTACCAGAGACCTAAAAGTAATATTTTAATGCCTCCAAGATGAACAGTTAAGAAATGCCAGTGAAATCTACCCTATATTAACTTTGGGTAGCCAGAGATGACCTATCTTCATTCAAAGATGAGTACACAGAAAAAATCCAATATTAGTTATATGAAGAAAGCCTTAAAGTATAAGAAATAATAAAGTATTCAAAGAATTGAATGAAGAATGTCTTTTTTGTTGTTGTTGTTTTTGTTTTTGTTTTTTTTTTTTTTTGGTACCAGGAATTGAGTCCCAGGGGTACTTAATACTGAGGCACATTCTCAGCCCTTTTTATATTTTTATTTTGAGACAGGGTCTGACTAAGTTGCTTAGGGCCCCAAGTGCTGAGGCTGGCCTCAAACTTGTGATCCTCAGCCTCCCAAGTCACTGGGATTACACTCATGTGTTACCACATCCAGCAAGAATGTCCTTTTGAAAAGATTTAATATAGGAAACAAAAAAAAAATTCTAGAAAGGTTCTACCTTACAGTCTCTAAGAAAATATTTAAATGTTTTCATGAAACAAGTAAGAAAAGTTCAGATAAAACAAAAGACTTACAGTTTTCCCAAGATATAACAGTAGTAACAAAAATAAGAAAAAATGCTGTAACAGTATTGAAATAGGAGTTATTATGATATTTTTTAATATTCAAGCCTTAGAAACTGAAGCCACTGATGAACAGAGGTTTGAAAGGTGAATGTAAGCAAAATAATAGTATAAAAAACAGTTAATGAAGCACTAACAAATAGCTAAATGTTATTCCTGAAGAAATACATGAAATAAACATAATGGAAACGTTACTCAAAATAAAATAGAAAAAAAAAATCCCAAACCAAGGAGCAATATATTAGCATATCAGAGGGGCTTTGCATTTAGTGGAAAAAAAATAATTAGAAAGCAAAGCATTCTCAAATATGTGCTTAGGAATTATTTAATTTAAAATCCTATGAGTATCTAGGAGGAGAAGAAGAGAAACGATCACATGTGAATAAAATAAAAACAGGCTGGCTGCAGATTTCTCTCTCACAACACCAGATATGAGATAATGATACAAACGAAAACACAG